CTGCGAACCCGCCGCGCAGCCCGGGCAAGGACCAAGGGTCCCCTATCAAGTCTTCCCTTTCGAGAAGCAACTTCAAGAGCAGCTTCGACCCCGAGACTGGCACCTGGTCAGCCGACACTTCTTTCGACGATCGCGAGCTTCCTTCTGGAAAGTCGCTTCATCGCCACGCCAAGAGCGTCACCTTTGACGCGGCTCCTCCTCAAATCAACGAATATGAGATGGCCACGCCGGACATTTCTTCCATAGGATCCAACTCGCGCGAGGGCAGCTTCGACTCCATGGATGACGACGACGACGAGGACGGACACTACCACTTTGGAGATCACGATATGGAGGGTGACAGCTTCGATGCGTCGCTAGAGGATACAGACAAGACTCCCGTCGTCGGTCCTGACGATTGGAGACAGTCTGCTGAGCGTATGGAGGATCCCTTCGATGGAAGCCCCATGCCAGATGCACTTCCACCTCGTATCGGCCGCACAGAACACACTCGATCTGACTCGTCAACTTCGGATCACCGCCCCCTGCCTCCTCTTCCCGGCATGGGCTCACCCGCCCGTGGTTCGCCCGCCTTCAGTGACTCCCGGTCTTCTCCTGGCCTGTCCGCGACAGCAGAGAGAATGGTGGGCGCCCACCGTAGCTTGCCACCGCCCCCCCCGGCAGCTGCCAGCAAGAACGAGATCCAGAGCATCGGCAACGGCAAGATGACTCTCGAAGAGAGACTGAAGCTTATGATGCTCTCAGACGACCACAAGTCTGCCAACGAGCAGCAGAGAGAGCGTCGCCTTCGTCGCGGTGCTCAGCGCGATAGAATCCAGAGCCCCGCTTCCGACACTGAGACAGCCGAGTCCAGCATGCTTTCCGCTGATGCAGATGAGGCTGATGATACCATTGGAGATATATCTGCCCTCGAGGACTACGAGTTGCCTAGCCGTATCTCCCGTGAGTCCATCATGCGTCGCGTCAATGGTGGCGCCAATGACCAAGGAGGTGACTACTTCTCCTCGCCTGCGCCTAGCTCCAGCCCCGAGCGACCCAGCCCTGAGCGTCGTCTGCCCCTGCCCCTTGACCCGGATGTCCCAATTCCTTCAACTGAAGACTCCATCCTGGATGACATCTCCGAGCTTAGCGACGAGGGTAGTGTCATTATCCACAGAGATGAGGCCTCTGACGTCGACACCGAGTCAATCACAGACTTCTACGCGCGGTCTGACATTGACGAGAACGATGCCGATTCTGCTAGCCATTACTCTGACGGACCGGCTCGCCAGCCCGAGGTCACTCAGGTCGACGAGGACATCCTCACACCTCGTGCTGCTAGCCCCTTCCAGACATTTGACTTGGCCTCAGAGATAAGACCCCTGGAGCTCAAGTCCGACAAGGGTTTCAGCTCGCCCGAGCAACGCGCTGTCTCTCCGGCTGACCTCCCAGTCAGGGAGCTGACACCCGAGACAAAGGTTGAAGAGGATATCGAGCCTACAAGCGAGCCTCAGGATGAGGTTGTTGAACAGCCTCAGCTCGAACCCGAGGTCGAGAAGGAGCCGTCGCCAGAGATGATAGTCGATGCACCTGTCGACACTGCCTCTGATCGCAAGCACAGCCTCCCCGAATTCCACGACGAGGGCAGGGACAACGAGTTCTCCAAGGGCTTGCAGTCGTTCATGCTTCCTCCGCCTCCGGAGCCTTCTGCCGAGGAAGTCGAGGAGCTTCAGCCCCCGCCAAAGATGACGGAGCTTCAGGCTGAAATGCAGCGCCCCGTGACCCCGAAGCATCTCTCCAAGCCTGATTACGACGGCTCTGGCTGGGGTGATCCAGAGGATGAAGAGTATGAGGAGGAGCCCGGTACGCCCGAGTCTGTCATTCATCGACCCATGTCCGATTCTGAATCAGAAATCTTCGACGAGCTGCCCATGGAATCTCCTGCTATTCCGGAGAGGCAGGCGACAATCAAGGCATCTGGATCCAAGTTGAAGACCAGACCTTCCAACACACCCTCTGACATCATTGCCATGAGGGAAGCCCGGCGCCAAGTTAGTCGCGAGGTGCCCGACATTCCAGCCATTCCTGAACGCCACCGTAACAGGCTGTCAAGGGATCTGCAGGGAGAGCCAACTATCCACGACGACGAAGAATTCGTGGACCGCCGCTCGAGCTTCAAGAAGCGCAGTCTCACATTGGATCTTGACTTTGGCCTCAGCCTTGACCAAGATTTCGATCGTGTCATTGAACAACAAAAGGTTGCTTTTTCTCAACTAGTCCCCAAATCTCGCATCGCAAGTGGCAGCACCAGCAGACAAGTGTCCAAGCCGACCGCGACCACGAATAAAATCATTTCACCAGTCAGGAAAGAGTCACAGAATGCTAACCAGAAGAACCAGCGCGGATACCTCATGCGCCAGAACACCAAAGTTGTTACAGCGAGCGACAAAGAGTCTTCTGACATGTGGAAGACTCGATCTGCTGGCAACTCCCCCGTTAAGACAGACCGCCCTCAGTCATGGACCGTCGAGCCCTGGAACGGTAGGCCCAGACAGAAGAGCATCAGACGCCGCGCCAACACAAGTGGTCCTGTGCCGCCTATGCCTGGCCAGGAGAGCAATGCTCAAACTCTGAACCCCCTGGCTGAAGAGGACTTGAACCCGGAGCTTGCGACCGAGGAAAGCGGCGAACGTGGCCGCCTCTTCGTCAAGGTTCTTGGAGTCAAGGATCTCGACCTGCCCATTCCCCGAAGTATGTTCCACCCTCCCAAGCCTCATCTCCAGTTTACTGACAATTGTTTAGCTGAGCGTACCTGGTTCAGCCTGACGCTTGACAATGGTGTCCATTGTGTCACAACCGCCTGGCTTGAGCTTGCTCGCAACGCTCCCGTCGGCCAGGAGTTTGAACTTGTGGTTCCCAACGACCTGGAGTTCCAGCTGACCCTCAACGTGAAGCTGGAGAAGCCCGCGCCTGCCAAGAAGGTGATCGTGCAGTCTCCTACTAAGGCTAGCAAGCCCAAGACGTCTACCTTCAGCAGGGTGTTCGCGTCTCCCAAGAAGCGGAAGGAGATGGAGTTGCGCCAGCGCGAAGAGGAGGAGCGTGTAGCCGCCGAGCAGCAAAAGGCTGCTCAGGCCAGACAGATGAAGGTCGCGCCTACCGCCTGGGACTTGTTGTCTCCACTCGCGGCTGAGGATGGCAGCTTTGCTCGTTCGTACGTGTGCCTCAAAGAGCACGAGTCGCGCTGCTACGGTCGCCCCTATGTCGTTGACGTGGCTTGCTTCAACGAGTGGGCGACTGAAGAGGCTACCTTCGCCTCCAGCGTCAAGAGCAAGCGTGGTAATACTGCTGTTGTCCGCCGCGCCCCCTACAAGATTGGAAAGTTGGAGCTACAGTTGCTCTTTGTGCCCCGTCCCAAGGGATCCACCGAGGAGGACATGCCCAAGAGCATGAACTCTTGTATCCGAGAGCTTAAGGCTGCGGAGGAGCGCCTTGCTAAGAACTGGGAAGGTCACCTGAGCCAACAGGGTGGCGACTGCCCTGTAAGTCTCGTGTCATATCCGATTCATACCGAATACGTGCTAATCTCATCAAAGTACTGGCGTCGACGATACTTCAAGCTTGTTGGCCAGAAGCTCACGGCCTACCACGAGGCTACCCGTCAACCCCGAGCTACTATCAACCTGGCTAATGCCAAGAGGCTGATTGACGACCGGCGTGCCCTGACGGAGCGAGAGACGACCGGCAAGGGCGGCAGACGTCGGCGATCAGCCTTCGCCGAGGAAGAAGAAGGATACATGTTTGTCGAGGAGGGTTTCCGCATCCGCTTCAACAACGGCGAGACCATTGACTTCTACGCCGACACAGCCGAGGACAAGCAGGGCTGGCTGTTGGCTCTGACGGACCTCATTGGTACCGGTCGCGGCGACAGCGAGGACGATGTTGGTGGTTCTCGCAAGCAGGGCAAGTGGTGCGAGCTCATCCTCAAGAGAGAGGAGGCGCTGCGACGGCGGCAAGAGGGCCGACGGGTGCACTCGCGTACGAAGAGCACATTCAACTAATACCCCTTCTTTTCTTGATGATTTGGCATGATCGGCACGAGTAGGGGACACGAAGTAATGGGGAGGCACGGCATGATCTATGATTCTCTTGGACCTGGAGTTCGTGATCGGATCATCATGTTGTCTTTGGTCCGCTGTTGCGATGACTTGTGTCTTGTGGACTGCGCGCTTGCCTAAATATCTAATAATTTGGCAGACAGGATGGCGTTTGGGCATGGTTTGGATGGCGATGGCGATGGAGGAAATTCCGGAGATTGAGAGCTTGTTGTTTTAAATTCGCACTCGGCTTCTTTTGAGCATTGTTCTAGGAGTCGAGTAGCCCGTTTGGTTGTACGTATCATGTTGTACTAAAATGGGAGGTTTTTATCGTTAAATTATTTGGCATTGCATTTTCGTGCAGTGATATCTGTTGCCTTGTCTACTTGGGTCATAATCCGAGGGCAATTGAGTTCACCCTAGGTCCTGGTAAGTTCGTAGTCACCTAGGTGAGGAGCGCATGCATCACGTGCGTGGTGATGTGCATAAAGTTGCTGGACCCTTGCTCCATTGATGTTCTCGTCAGTGAAGGGAAGCCACGGGGGCGCAGCTGGCCGGGGGAGTTTCACCAAGGTATCCATCCGTACCGAAGGTAATGTGCAGCGGCACGAATTGCAGGTGGGTACGTACCCATCCAGAGCAATGGATTGCTGCTCGCTACCTGAATTGAAGTGGGCTGGCAGCAGTAGCAGGCGGGCGGCAGCACCCACTTCGTCTTCCCGTTAGTTCGTTATTTTGGAAGGGCCCGCCAGCAACAGCTCCCAGCTATCTTATTACACCGAATCCTCCCCTTTTGGATCACCAAGAGATCGCAGGTTACGTCGCTTTTCCCTACACAGCATTGCATATCGTCTGCCTCTTTCTTTACCGACCCCTTCCCCTCCTCCCTCCCGCCACCCGGGTCTTCCAAAACATAAATCATCCTCAATGGCGGGCCGCTTTGTGCGAGCGTCGAAATATCGTGGGTCTTCTTTTGTTTAAACTGTCGCATGCCACCGTGTTGCGCTGGGACGAGCTGACTACTGACGCCCGATTTCCTCTCGTCTAGGACACGTCTTTGGCAAGCCGACCCGGAAGGAGTTCTGCTACGATAATCTTCACATCAGCCGAAATGCCTGGGATACCAACTTGGTGAAGGTAAGTAAGGGGTTCGCTCCTTTGCTTCTTTTGCCCTCCTGCCGAGACAATTGATGGGGGGGCAAGACCGGGGTCGATAGGAGAACACAAGAGAAAGAGGCTGACCAGAAACTCGCAACCTTTAGGCCAACCCCGACTACCTCTCCGTCAATTGGGATGCCGGCGGTGGCGGCGCTTTCGCTGTCATCCCCCTTGGCGAGAAGGGAAAGGTGCCCGACCAGATCCCGCTGTTTCGAGGCCATACCGCCACCGTCTTGGATACCGACTGGTACGCCGATCCCCGCGACGCCGCGACCCGCGCGCACCATCCACCGACGACGGCGAGCGCACGCGACAATCATACTGATGACCACGTGCTAGGAACCCCTTCAACGACCGCGTGATTGCTTCTGGATCTGAGGATGGAAAGGTCTTCCTCTGGCAGGTTCCCGAGAACTTCACCCTCTACACCGATGCCGACGAGCCCGCCGATGTCTCCCCCGTCAGCAAGCTCGCTGGCCACTCGAGGTTCGTTGCCCGTGACCTCCTCTTCTCCCACTCCACTTTCTCGGCCATGATGCTGATATGTAACATACAGAAAGGTCGGCCAGGTCCAGTTCAACCCCGCTGCGGAAAACATTCTCGCGTCCGCATCCGGCGACTTTACGATCAAGCTCTGGGACATCACCACCGGCTCGCCCACCCACACCCTGAAGCACAACGACATCGTCCAGAGTCTGTCGTGGAACGCCAGCGGCTCCATGTTGGTCACGACATCTCGCGACAAGAAGATCCGCGTATGGGATGTGCGCGCCGAGAAGCCGGTCCACGAGGCCCCTGGCCACCCGGGCGCCAAGAACAGCAGAGCTGTCTGGATGGGCGAGCACAACCGTTTCGCCACGGCTGGTTTCTCGCGCATGAGCGAGCGTCAGCTTGCGCTGTGGGAGCCTGGCCGCAGTGAGCCGATTGGAGGTTTCAGCATGCTTGACTCCATCTCTGGTGTCATCATGCCTTTCTGGGGTCAGTGTTGGAGGTCCATCCTTCGTAAGGGATAGTTGCTAAACTACGGACAGATGACGGATCCAACTGCTTGTATCTTGCTGGCAAGGGGTAAGTAGTTCATTGAGCAGAGTATAGTCCTTGGCGTACTGACAGTTCTGACAGCGACGGCAACATCCGATACTACGAGTACGAGAACGACAAGTTCGAATACCTGAGCGAGTACAAGTCCGCCGAGCCCCAAAGAGGCATTGCTTTCGTTCCCCGTCGTGGCATTAACGTAGGTCGACTTCAGCGCGCGCATGGTGGAATATCTAGAGAGCCATATCTAACGCCGCGTAGGTGCACGAGAACGAGGTCATGAGAGCCTACAAGACGGTCAACGATAGCTACATCGAGCCCATCTCTTTCACCGTCCCCCGTAGAGCCGAAACCTTCCAGTCCGATATCTTCCCCCCTGCTACTGGCCTCAAGCCTGCCGTCAGCGCCAAGGATTGGCTCGATGGCAAGACTGGCATTCCCTCCAAGATCGACTTGGAGAGTGTGTACGAGGGTACCGCCCCGAAGGAGGTTGCCTCTGACTACAAGCCTCCCGTGATCGCCTCGGCTCCTCCTCCAGCTGCAAAGCCTGCGCCAAAGCCCGCCCCCGCTCCGGAGCCTACTCCGGTGGCACGCTCACCCCCTCCCTCAATGAAGGAGCAGCAGGCCTCCATGTCCAACATGGCCAACAAGTTCAAGGATGACGAGCCTGCTGAGCCTGAGGATGAGGACGACGACTCAAGCTTTGAGGAGGTACAAAGACCAGCTCAGCGCGCCGCGGCCCCTGCTGCAGCTCCTGCTCCTGTCCGTGCCGAGCCGGCTAAGATTCCCTCGCCTATCAAGGCCGCCTCCCCTGCTCAAGTCAAGTCGCCTCCCGCACAACAGTCCCCTGTCAAGCCCGCATCTGCCAACTCACCTGCATCCTCGACGCACATTGAGTCATCTCTGGATCAGATCAGACAGATGCTCGAGCAGCAGACCAAGCTCATTGGCAAGCAGAACGACAAGATTAGCAAGTTGTCGGACGAAGTCGAGGGGCTGAAGCGCAAGGTGAACGCTGGCGGGTCTCAGGATCAGAGCGAGAGGATCAGACAATTGGAGCTGGAACTTGAGGCCGCGCGGTCTTAGGGAATCTCCTCTGATATTTTTGTGTGACCTACAGCGTGTAAAAGAAATGGGGTCTAAGGGGGAGTGTGCATCTGGAGAAGGGAGAGATGTGATGAAAACTGGGTCTTTGGGATGGATAGCAAGCAGTGATTGTCACAAGCAGAGTTAGTTTGGTGTTATAAGTACCTATCTTGTTCTCTTTCCCCTCAGGTCGTTTCTTTGGTGCATGCTGTGTGAGCGCATGGCTGGCGGTGATGCGTCAACCTATGAACCACGTAGCCCACTTGTAAGTTTAGTTGGTATCTAGGTTACCAGCGTGTTCATGGAGGTGGTGAACGATAGGAAGGCTCTGATACATGTCAGTCCGCCCAGGTGATGGTTTCATCTGGTCCATTGGATGTGGGCTGTTCTTGGCACTTTGAGGGACTAGAAGATAGTTTCCTGTCGCAAGACGTGTCAGATCCAAGGAAACTTTCTTTTTCTTTCTCCTTGGAAACAGATCAACCTGCTGTGCGCATGTGTCTGGGGGATTCTCTTCATCTCATGTTGTTGTTTAGCTGTGGGAGATGAACTCTGATGCAAGATGCCTACTCGACATGTCTAGTTGTGCAGTCATTGTCGCATCCAAGAGATAACACTGGATGGTTGGTGAGCAGGGGGGGATTTGGGGGCTTTAGCATCCCACCAAGGCTGATGGGAGCTTTGACGTCTTTTGACGTCTTTGAACCCTCCCATCCTCATTGATGTAGTGGAGGCTGCAGCCAATGAGGATGTTCTCCAGCCACAGGTTGGGCGAGGCTGAGAAAGGGGACCTTCTCTCGGACCCGCTGAAATTTTCAAGATTGTCGCGATAAGATAGGTCGTCTGCATACCTACCGTGGAAGTTTCGGTTGCTGAAGGACTTTTTCCCCCCCAAACAATACTGCAACAATCGGAGTACGACAACGAAGCTACGGTCACTGCTTTCTGTCGCAGCAACGAATCGGGGACAATCGTCTCCTCTACTGTACATTCCACATTTCGCTTCCCCGAGCAAGAGCAACGACCGCAAACCTACAAGCTCAAAATCTCGATCTGAGACCGCGAACATGGCCTCGGTTCTCGGAAAGCGCAAGGCGCCCTCTGCGTCGACTGCCAAGACGAGCAAGCCCACTGCGGCGGCATCAAGCAAGACTGCTGCACCGGCATTGAGAAAGAAGAAGAGCGCCGAGGGCCTCAAGAAATCATCCGCCACCGCGACAGCGACGAAGAAGAGGACGACGGCCACCAAGATGACGAAGGCGAGAAAGGCCGAGGAAAAGGGCGAAGAGGAGGAGGATACGTCCATGCTAGACGCGCAAGAGATTTTCAGACGGCATTTTGAGGCGCAGTTCAAACCAATTGAGGAGAAGAGCGCGCCGAAGCGCAAGAAGAGCAAGGCCAAGGCCGAAGAGGAGGAGGAGGGGGACAGCGCGAGCGGAAGTGACGAGGAGGTTGACGAAGGCGAAGAGGACGTCTTTGAGGACGAGGGTGCTGACGGCGAGGAGGGGGAGGGGGAGGAGTGGAGTGGTCTCTCTGGCGACGAGGGTAAGTCAACCCGCTGGGCGTAACGTCCAGAAATGCTATGGAGAAGACCATTGACTAACGAGAGACTCAACAGAAGACGACTACGACGAGGACAGCGACATCCCTTACGACGACATCGACGAGAACCCCGTCATCGAGGTCGTAGACCACACCAAATCCAACGCCCCTCCCGTCGTCAGCATGAGCAAGCGCGAACTCAAGGCCTTCATGGTAACTCCCTCCTTCTCGTCCTCACGTCTCGATATCTCACTAACCTCCTCCTCCTCTTCATAGTCCTCCAAACCCCCCTCCCAAACAGACCCCTCCCCAACCTCCCTCACAGCAGCACAACCCCCCGACGACCCAGACGACGAAAACGACAAGTCCATGCTCGCAAACGACCTCGCCCTCCAACGCCTCCTCTCCGAATCCCACCTCCTCGCCCGCCACGCCGTCTCCCCCTTCTCCAACCCGTCCAACGCCGCCTCCAAGTCCTTTTCCGAGGGCAAACTCCGCCAGCGCCAGACGGACCTGCGCACGCGGTCCCTCGCCGGCGCGCAGGGGGTGTCCGGCGTCAAATCGATCTTTGTCCAGGAAAAGATGCCGATGGCGATGCGCAAGGGCATCGTCGCCAGCACGGCCAAGCGCGAGGAGAAGCGCAGGAAGACGGCGAGGGAGAACGGAATCGTGTTGGAGAGGGAGGCGCCCAAGAAGGCGACGAAGAAGGAGAGCGGCGGTGGGGGTAGGTTTGGACAGAGGGGCCTTGATGGGCTTGATGTTGGAAGGATGAGGGGCGCCGAGCTGAGGTTGAGCGAGAGGGATGTTCGGAATATCGAGGGCGGCGGCGGTGGACGTGGAGGTCGGGGCGGAAGGGGAGGGAGAGGTGGTGGTGGTGGTGGTAGAGGAGGCCGCGGGAGGAGGTAGACTGATCATCTACCATGCCGCAAGACTCCCGAGCCCTTATATACCTACAGTAATAGGTGCCTCACGTTCGCAGCGGCTCATAGTCTTTCTCAAGGCAGTAGATATGAAAGAGACAAGGCTTTACGCAAATTGTTTGTTCTCCGTCCATAATGCTCAAATGCTTACACGTGACTGGGTCTCAATACATGTCCACTTGCTGGCACGCACAAACCTGTTCATCTCAAGTCCGTCTTAGTCCTCACAATTTGAGAGCATAAGTCACATTCGAGAACACATCACTGGCAAGGAACCGGACTTGGAAAGGTGAATCAACATTCGAGACTCTGCTTATTGTTTCGTGGCAACCCCTGTCGAGCAATCAAAGGAATGCTCGGCAGTCTTCTCCCCCTGGTATCATCTGGCCTTCTGGCGAGTGTTCTTTTCTCAACTATGCCTCTCCAGCACAAAGGAAAAAGAAACAAACTATATATACATGTGCGAGTCGTTTCTCTTCTTCGCATATCGACCCTAAGCTCATGCATAAAAATCTCCCTTTTCGACGGGTACTTTCAAACGTCGAGATCTTCCCAGTCTCTCCGTACGTACCTCTATGTGTGCGAGTTTCCTTTTTGGTGTCTGAGACCGTCGGCCAGACTCGATGCTGAACACATGAAACTGAAAATGAAATAAAAAATTCGCCCGGAGCCAGAGGAGCAATTGTCCAGTCGCTAACGCGTGCCGAAATCCATCTTCTGGATGGATGAAGAAAAAAGAAAAAGCCCCTAACCCATTCCAAACCTTTGTCATAGCCATGCCGCCCTCTAAGTAACACCGTGTCGAAGGAAACGTAACTCCAGTCATAACGAGAGCCGAAGCTCGTGAGGTGTCGTCTCTCACATGATGGCGCTCGCGTTCACTGCCGGTTGGCTGATGGTCATCGGCATGCTGAGCGTCTGCAAGCTGTTGAACGATTGCGCCATGCCGTTCGATGTCGGCGGTGTCGAGCCGTTGGCAATACCGTTGAGCGAAGCGGTGACGTAGGCGTTCTCGGAGTTGGGCGATGCCTCCTCGAGGGAACCCAGCTGGTCCTCGCCAGAGTACTCTTCCTCCTCCTCGCCGGAGAAGTTGAGAGCAGCCTCGCCGTTCTCACCACGGTCATGAGTACGCTTGTGTCTGTTGAAACATCAAAGTCAGTCCATGCTATGCGACGAGGTGGGTTCCCCCCTAAAACTTGGTGGCTGCGTAGTGATGATGATGATGTCTGTGTTGTGGCGCGGCGGTTTGGACGTTGGTTTTCATCGCTTGGGGTCTCGCTCCACATTACATCTTTCTTGACAAAGGAAATGACAAAGGAAATGAGATGAAGGAAAGTTGGGGCATACTGTGCTAGGTTGTCTGATCTGGAGAATGCCTTGCTACAATAAGGGCAGATGTAGGGTCTTTCTTGTGTATGTGTTCTCACGTGTCTGGAGGTTTGGTCAGATTTCAGGCAGGTCGTTTTTTTTGGTTGATCACAAATAGAATCGAGTCTGGTTCTTACCTCTTGAGGTGCTCTAATCTCTTGAAGAGACGACCACACGTGGGAATAGGGCAGGAGTGGGACTTCTGGGGGTAGGGACCAAGTTCCATGACAGTCGCGGAGCGGGCTCTGCGAACGACACCGTTGGGGCCCTGCATGCCAGGCCGGGGAGCGCCGTTCATGGAACCATCACCGGACATATCATCGTGTTGGAGGTGGGAGTAGTCTTGCTGCTGGAGGGACATGGGGTTGAGAGCGGGGCTGCCCTCGACAGTGGACAGCGGAGTGCCGTGCCGGGACAGGTCCAGCATCTCCTTGTGCTGCTGGCTTACCATGGACATGGCGGAGCTGCTGTAGGCAAGGCCGGGCGGGGAGTTGTCTGCAGATTCGTCGCCTTCAGCCACAGGACCGACGGATGCAGAGACCGACCGCCGGAGATCCGAGGGTCTGTGCTGCTGTTGGTGTTGTTGGTGTTGCTGTTGCTGAGCGGCAGCCTGTGCCTGCGCTTGGGCAGTGGCAGCGGCAATGGCTGACATTGACGGCGGGATGGATGAACGCCGTCTCCTCTGCTTGTAGGTGGGGGATCCTTCAATGACGGAGTAGACGTTGTTTGAACCATAGGCTCTCGAGAACTGAGGGCCGGCGAGGTTGGAGGGGGGAAGCTGGATCATGCCGTTGAGACCGTTGACGTTGCCGCCCATGTGGTCGGGGATGGCGGTGTACAGGCCGGTCTCCTCGTTGGCGATGTAGGCGGGCTCGGCGGCCATGCCCAAGGCCTGCTGGGGAGGTGTAATGGGCTCGAAGGAGATTCCGCGGTTGCTGTAGTCCTCGTACTGAGAAGAGACGAATGACGGGGCGGGAGAGTACTCGAGGCCGTAGGCGGGCATCGAAGCGTGTCTCTGGTGACCCTGGGTGATGGGAACACCGTTCTGGTTGTACTGGACGCGAGCGAAATCGGGTTCCCTCTTGACCATCTGCTGGGGAGGCATCTGCTGAGGCATGCCCATCGCTCCGTAGGGCACCATTGACTCCATGCCATCCTGCATAGGAGCAA